TAAGACTTTTTTTCTTATAATATAAAATTAAATACTGCTATAATATAATTCTTATTTTCAAATATTATTAAAAAAAAATTTATTTAAATATGTTAAAATTTAAAAAAAAGTAGATCATAACCATATTTATGATAATTTTTCAGGCAAATTTGCCTAAAAAAGTTTACAGTTTAAGGGATATGATCTATAGAAATTGTCATAAAATTCAATATTGGGCATAATATTATATAATCAAAAAAATTTAAAACAAATGTTCATTTTAACAAAAATTGCTAATTTTGCAAGAAATTGCATTCTAAACCACCTTTTATATATTAATAAAATGTTTTCTTTAAGCAATTTTACTATATAACTACCTAAATACTAATCCTAATATAGTTCTTACCCTAACTCTAAACTAATATAAACAATATTGGTATTACTGTTTTTGTATGTAATATTGCATAATCAAAATAAAAAATACAAAAAATTTAATGTATCCTACAGGTATATTTATATTAATTTTATTTTAAAATTTAAAAATATAAATCATAAGTATATATATAATAATTTTCTAAGCAAATTTATCTGAAAAAGTCTACAGATTAAGGAATAATATAACTATTTATATTTATATATATATATAATTTATAGCTATAATCATAATTTTTAAAATATTTGCTCATTATCTAAAATCTTTTTGATCATTCAATAAAGTATCTAACTTTCTAAAAATTATATTACTGCCTTTAAACTAAAGATTCAAAAACAATAATATAGTTTTTAAAGAATTAGATAATTTACTGAATGATCAAAAAGATTTTTTGTAATAAGCAGATATCTATAATACAAGAGTAATAAAACCCACTACTAGTTATATAGACTATAGTAACTAACTTCAAACATAGTACCAAAAGCAACAAAATCCTTACTAGTAATTCTTCAATTACAAGAATACAAACAGTTTTTGTATCAAAAAAAATATAAGCTAAATATTATATAAAAAAAATTAACTAATCTAATATAATTGATGATTATTATTTATACCCATGGTTAAGGGTACACTATGGTGCAGTGTGTATTAAAATAAAAGAATAGCAACTAATTTAATCTAAACAAAGATGCTTCAAATTTACAAAGCCTAGAGTAATAGCCTCAGTTAATTTATTCCTCTCTCTAGACCTTTAATTTACTAGAGACTTTATCTTTTGGTTATTAGCATATACTACACACTGAATTAATATTGATTTTCTTTTTGTGAAAAAAAAATACAAAAACAAAGAAAAGATTTAAAAGCAAAAACAAAAAAGAGAAGTATACCTTGACTTCAAAACCCAATCTACCTAACAGCAAATAAAACCAAAGCAAAAAAAACAGAACAAAACAAAATAAATAAAAAAAACAACAATAGTATTATTAAACTTGTACAAGATTGTAAAAATTATATAGTACTACTAAAAACTAGTCTAAACACTACACTAGTTATTTATATTTATATTTAGAATATAAATATCTGTCCTTATGTAGAGATCCAAGTTCAAAATTTCTATTGTGGTTTTAGCAAATCTTTTTACAATGTATTTACATTTTTTAGATTCTGGACAAAGTTAACAACTTATTGTTTGTTCTATGAAAGACAAATTAGATAGTTTTAGTAAAAATACTATAATCTTTTATGGGATACCAATTATATATTATTTATTCTAAAATAAGCATATACATATATATATTTATTTTCTTTTTAGCAGCAATCATTGTTGTTGATTTTTTGATGAGAGTATATCATATTTCTCATTTTTTAGTAAAATTTCATCAAGAATAAAGAGTGTTTTGAAAAAAGTTTTAGTTTGCAAGTAACCTTAAACTTCGATAGAGAGTATATTAAAACCTTGCTTGTTGTTCTCTTTTAGATCAACTATTTTTTACTTTATCAATAGAAATTATACTTCTATTAAAAATTTTTTGTAAAAGAATGCTACTACCAATTATCTTGTACAAGAATGCTTTTAACTTGCTTGCTAAATATATAGAAAAATCTGAAACAGAAGCAAGATCTTTGCCTCTGTAAAAACTATTACTTGTATAGTTGTCTTTTCTTCTTTTTTTTAACAAGTTTCTATTTTTGTTAATTATAAGTTTGGTATAAGTGATCATTGGAGAGAGTTTTGACTATATAAATTAAAATATATTATTTTTAATTATTTTAAAAAAATTTGTATCATACTATAAAATTAAAAAAATTGTAAAATAAGTAAAATACAATAATATAAATCAATATAACTCTTAGAGGATGTTCTATAGAATAGGTGGGCAAAATAAGAAATAAGCTTTGTTAATGATTAGTAATCATTAATTTTTTAATAGCAGAGTTGCGAAGTTTGCAGAGTTTGCCCACCTATTCTATAGAACATCCCTTTTGGAATTAAAATTATTATTTGAATTATTATTATTATCAGTATCAGAATTATAAATAGTCTATTAAATTTTGAATTAGATTCCTGATTCTTAATTCAAATTGCTATAATTATAATAAATAATAGTATTATTTGATTTACTAATTTGATATATATTGTAAAATTAAAGAATTTTATAAAATTTAAAAATATTGAATTTATTTTATAGATAAAACAAAATTTTTTACATAATAATATTGTAAAAAAGATAGAAAGAAAACTGCTTATACAAAAATTTTAAGATTATTAATTTTAACTAAAATTATTATTAATTTTAACAAAATTATAGTTATAATAATAATAAAAGATAATTTGAAGATTCTAAGTTGTATATCAATCATATATTGGATCAGTAATATCTATATTTTATTAAAACTTTATATAATTTTTTTAGAATTGAAAAATTGGCATGAACTTACATAACATAATGATCTGCAAAGATTAGATAAATTAGAAATTTTAATTCTAATAGGAATATTAATTCTGACCAAAATTAAGTAGTGCTAGTTTCAATCAAATTAAAGAATGTTAATTCTACTAGGAATAATGTTTTTGCCTCTTCTGAATTTAATACCCAATGGGCTTTAAATATCTTTCCAAATCCACCTTCTGCCACATTCTTGATATCTTCAAATAGATCGTATAATGTAACCTTGATATTTGATTCTTTATTAATGCTTTTAATTTCAATACATATTTCTTTAGATTCAATTAGCATTTTAAATGACATTCCTCGATGCTATAATGCAAGACTGTTTAATTCTATCTCCAAGACTTGTTAAGGTCATCAAGTGCTCCAAAAAACTTCCCAGCATTCTATTTGTATATTCACGGCTTCTTAACACGTCGGCGTTGTCTGGTTCAATTTCAAGTGATTGCTTAATATCTGAAGTGCTTTATCGTATTTTTTTCATGAAATAGGCTTCGCTACGATTCTTAATACATAAGCATTAATTGTCTGTATTTTTATAATCTGTCAAGGTCAAAAAATGCATCATCGTATTTATCCAATAACATATTAATTTCGCCACGATTTCCTAATGCATAAGTATCATTTGGTCGTATGTCTAATAATCGATCAAATTCAAAAAGTGCTTCATCATATTTACCCAGTTTCATACAGATTTCTCCACGAATATGTTTGAAAGTACCAATCAGTTCTATTTCCAGCACTTCATTAAGATCAGAAAATGCATCTTCATCTTTATCCAATGCTATATAAAGTTCTCCACGAAAATATAATGTGTCAACGTAATTTGGTTCTATTTCGAGCACTATATTAAGATCAGAAAGTGCATCGCTATATTTTCTAAAAGACTATACG